TAGTGAGTTATAACATTATTATTGTAAAAGTGTGTTGAATGTTGGACAGAGATGAATCAGTCTGCTGTCACTGTATGTAACAATCACATAAGAGTTTGTAAATATATTTCATTAAATATATGTTTGTTATGAAGATATAAGGTATTTTTTTTATCTATCCCATTATGAACAAGAGATTATATTTTTGACCGACTTCCCAAAAGAAGGAGGTACTCAATTCGTCTGTATGTTTTTTTTTTATGTGTGTTACGGCGTAACGCCGCTAGTGGACCGATTTTGATAAATTTTTATCCGAAAGGTAATGCTTGCAGGTAGGTCTCATAGGTAGGTAGGTAGGTTTTATAATTCCGATCAATAGTTTAGGAGATATCATAAAAAGCAAATTACAAGTCGCAGAAAAAAATACCAACTTGTAAAAAAGTTTTCTTGGCTTACGTAACCTAAACTATAAGACCTACATAAAAATGATGTATGAAAGAATTGTAGCTCATTCAATTAGCTAAATTAAGGTCCGCGATGGCATATATCTATCTCTTAAGGTTGTCGCACAATAACCATTTGTTTCGCGAAAACCGTCAAATAAGTGCAATTAACTTTATTTAAAACGCTTTTATTCTTATTTGGTATGAATCCTTATCCAAATAAATATGTTTTCACGATAGAGTATGAAATGTAGATCATAATTGCCTTTTACAGTATGTAATTCTGACCAAGATTCTAGAAGTTATCAAAATATTAAAACTCACGGGCAACAGCGGCGCGCGGCTGGATAGAATTATGAGTGAATGGTCGCAACGATGTATTAGTTCTTTACTTAATTTCGTAGATAACTCATACTTTGTTTGAAAGCTAGCGATCATCATACTGCGATGTTTAGATTCACTAAAAATCGAGAAATAAATAAACTTTTTAATAAAAAAACAAAACCGACTTCCAAACAAAATACACTAAAAACAAAGTATTCTCAAAAAAACAGTACACTAAAAAGTAACGAAATATTTTCTTGAAAATAGTAAACCTACCTTATTGTAACTGTTATGTCTATATTGTACAATTATTTTTACTTTGAAGTCGGTGTCAGTCAATGTAGATTCATTACTTAATTGTTACTATACTTTCAATTGTCAATTGTTATAGTAAAAATGTGGAAACCCTTACGTAGAAATATTACTGCATACCTCGGCTGAAACCGACATCAAAGTAATAATAATTGTACAATATAGACATAACAGTTACAATAAAGTAGGTTTACTATTTTCAAGGAATTATTTCGTTACTTTTTAGTGTACTGTTTTTTTGAGAATATTTTGTTTTTAGTGTATTTTGTTTTGTTTTTAGTGTATTTTGTTTGGAAGTCGGTTTTGTTTTTTGTGATAAAGCCATAACATTTTTAAATAGTAATATTAATGTATAGACCCATGGAATTTATAAAATCGGCCCAGGAGCTTTTACGTGAATCAAATATGCAGGGTTATTGGTAAAGCTTATTGGTTATTGGTTTTTTTGTAAAGCTGTAAGTGTTTAATGGTTTTTTTTAATCTGAAGAAAAAATGAAGTTATCATTGATGGCTTTTTTAATAAGTTTTTGAAATTGCATTTTCGCCTTTTTTTTAAGAAATCTTAAAATCGTGATTACTCAAAAATGGTTGACTATTGTATAATGCATATGGGGTTGAAAATATCACAAACGAACCCTCCTACCGACTTTTAGTGGGAATACGTGGAATTATCAAAAAACCCTTATAAAGCAGTATGGATTCAAAGTATGTGAGGTTTGTCGCAAAATAAACACAATATTCTAAATATAATATATTTATTCGTCAATATAAAAAAATAATTGGACCATTAAAATTATGCTTAAATCTATCACATTGATCAAATGTTACATAATAAAAAAATGATGCGTAAAATAAGTAAGAGAATGCAGTCGATGTCGGATCAGATCGTGCGAGAGAGCTCACCGGCCGATCAGCTTGTTGTGCTCCGACATCAGGCTCTGCAACAAAGATACACAAGTAAGCACAATCTGAGAAATATATTAACTTTCATAAGAGCTTCGTTCGGTACAGATATCAACAATACCGGATTCGCCATATTCTGAGATCGATATGTTTAAATTTCGCTATCCAACTGTACAGGATTAATAAAGCTAACCGGGCTCATTTATTTTTTCTAAGGGAGTATGTTTAAAATCCCTCTCAAGATCGGACGCGGGCCGTTGGGGGGTGGACCACTGTAGAGTTTTCCACTGTAGACGGTTCCTAGAGTCCGTGTATGAAGGTCATCGGAAGTGCTTGGATTTCGGATATAGCGAAATTTTTTAAGTACTACATACACATCAGACACACACACACTCATCCAAATTATTTGCTTTTTTTAAAACAATTTAAGGTAGTATTGAGTTACGCAGATGTCGTC